AAAAAAACTGATTTAATTTACAGATATTAAGGATTAAAAAAATGGTAAATCATTTGTTAAATTACAGATAAAATCTATTAAAATCACAGAAAAAAATATAAATTTACACGTTAATTGCAAAAATAAAAATAAAGCACATCAACTTTGTTCTCTTTTGTTCAACCATAAAATTAGACAATTTTTACTGTTTTTAAATCAGCAAATATGAATTAAGGATTGAAAAATGCTCAATAACTTCGAAACTGTTATTTTACAGATTTTTCCTGTTTTGGTAAATGATAGAAAGAAAAAAACCATCGTCCACATCAGAAGCTTGTGTTTTTACAAATAGTTTAATTCTGTTAAAAGTCATAAATCAGCTGAAGACGTTTTCACTTTACACATATCTGCAGTTATTTTTACTTTTCAACCTGTTAAAGTGTTTTTCTGGCGCTCTTGCTGCTGAATTTTTACTCCTTTTAAAACAATATCTTTTTTTTTACAGTGTGAAGTTGATTTTTCCAACAAAAACTGACTTTAATGAAACTTTTATTTCTGATTTCAGGGTTTCGTGTTTCTGGACACCTTCGATCCGACCGAGTACGACCCGTTTCTGCTCAGCACCAAGAAGCCGCTCGACTTCAAGGTGGTTCTTTAGTTTAATATGTGTTCTAGAATAAACTTCTGTTGCTGGCGATTTACTCTCTGATCCGTCTGCAGCCCAGAACGGACGCTTCAAAGAACCCGTTCTACTTGCAGACGTGGCAGGAGAGCGGAGCGGCGCCGTCATGTGCAGCAGGTATCAGAGACGTTCTGCTTCTTCTACAACACATATCTGTGAACGGAGACGCATCAGACGACCTGGATTCATCTGGAGTCAGTGGATTTGATCACATTTCTCATTTTTCATGCAGAAAATCCCCCAAAACAGAATGAATGCCACTAAAACAGTAAATAAACCAAAAACAAACCTCTAGAACTTTAGTTTTTAGTTTCCAACCAAACAAACAAACAAGAATCGACCCTGTTTGGTTGGTTTTTAGTTCTTTTTTTGGACTCTAAATGAAACCGGTTTTCCTCCAGATGTGATCCAGAAATCTCAAACTGTCCACCTTTGTTCCTTTTATTGATTTATTGGGACAGAAAACGCCTCGTTTGCACATTTAAACCTGACAATAACTGTCTTTGTGTGAATATTCAACTGCAAGAGATTCAAAAACTCAGCGTGAGACAAACTACCAGCGACTGTTTTCTGCTTTTAAAAGCTTCGTTGAGTTGAATCGTGATTCTGAAACTCATGGAGGAAATTAAACGCCTCGTAAACAGAACCTCCGCTGATCCGTTCTCATCCTGATCTCAGCTGATTCCTGTGTTCGCTCTTTGAATCAAAACCTTTTCCTTCCGTCTCAGGATGTGAACACAGACCAGCAGCGTCTCCACCTCAGAGCGACTCCGGCCCGTCTCACATCCACGACCTCCAAAGTCCTCCGACGCCGAGTCCAGCCGAGGACGAAGCCGAGGACGAAGGAGAGCCGAGGAGCAGCTGGAGCAGCTGCAGAGACGACAGAGTTTCATGTTTACTCCTGATGCTGAAGTTTTAAACGCGTCTCACCGAGACTAGACGCCCAAATGCTTCACGTTGGTGCAGCTGCTTCACTGGACAAACCTTCAGTCCGGATCCTCCTCCAGATGTTTCATCTCCTCCAGATGTTTCTTCTCCTCCAGATGTTGCTGCTCCTCCTCCAGATGTTTCTTCTCCTCCTCCAGACATCTCCACCAACCAGAGCAGCTTCCACCGTCACCTACGTCTGAATAAAACCTCGGTTCCTCGTCTCACCACCTTCTCGGTGCTTCGAAGCCACGACGCAGAAACCTGTTTTTACTCCGTTTACATTTTATTGGCACCGTCTCCAGAACTTGGAGGCAGATTCACGGCAGCAGCTACAGACAGTACGAGCAGGAACGTGTTCGCTGGATTATTTCTGTCTGAACGTGTTTGTTCAACGTGAATAATCGTGACGTGAACTTGAGGTGTAATTTCTCAGCTTGAGCGTTCGACTGAATCCAAGTTCACTGGAATACAGTTTGAGTTGAATAAATTCAGATTTAAATAATCCAGACTTAGTTTGTCTGTGATGTTTATTCCATCAGCAGTAAAACATATGAAATGTGGATGAACCAAATGTCAACCGTTCAGCAGATCTACAGTTAAGACCTGAGTCCAGTCAGAAGCTCTTTGCAGTCAGATTCACATTAGAGCTGGTCTGAGGTCAGTAGAAGCTCAGATCCAAGACGAGCGTTAAAAGGCACTTTGTGTGATTGTTCTGGTGCCAGACGGAGTTCTCATCTCCTCACTTGCTGGGCTCATAGAGCTGCAGGTCCAGTCGGACCCAGACCTCTCCGGTCGGCACCTCGTGCAGCAGCAGCCGGCGGGTCGCCGCTCCTTTGCTCTCCATCTCCTTCTTGATGGTCGCCACGGGAACCTCGGTGCGACCCAGGAAGTCTGGAGACGAAGGAAGCATCCGGTACCGAAGAAACAGATAAAAACACACCTCAGTCATCACATTTAATTTATTTATATGCTGTTTTTTTCTTCATTATTAAATCTTATTTTTAGCATTTTATTTAATTTTAGTTTTTTAAAAATTTATTTTTGCTATTTAAAAAAAACAAAAGTGGTTTCATTTGGGAACAAACTTGTTCTGATCCGTCGATTAATGACGTGTGAGCTGTGCAACATTTACAAAACAAAAACAACAAAACCACATCTTAAACGGTTCCATCCTGTTAGGTTGCATGTTTACTATTTTATTTATTAGTTTGTTGTTTTTACTGAATTTAAGATGTTTGTAGTTATTCAAGAGAAAGATTCTGTATATTAAGGATCGAAAAATGGTAAATTATTATTATTATTTTTTTTTACAGATTTTCCCTGTTTTGCTAAATTGCAGATAATATCAAGAAAATCTGAAAAAAATAAATCATTATGTGGAAATTGAAAAAAAAAAATAAAACACATCAAAAATCTTAAAAAAAAAAAAATATTCCCAATGAATTTGTTCTCTTTTGTTTCACCATGTAGTTACTGTTTTTACTGCTTAAATCAGTAAAAATCTCATCATCTGACAGATATTTGAAGTTATTCAAAAAGAAAAATTCTGCATATTAAGAACTGAAAAATGGTAAATCAGTTGTTTTACAGAATTGTCCTGTTTTGTTAAATTACAGGAAAAAAAACACTAGAACTGTTTTATAATACATGTTTTTCTGGCAAACTTGCTGCCAAATGTGCAGCTAAAGTGTGAATGCTGAGCGAACTCTGGACCAGGTCATACGTGTGGCACCAACTTTAGATCACACAACACAACCTGGAACTACAACTACAACAACAGCTGGTGCAGCTACGTCTTCTGTGGAAAGACGACTGTTCATCCCTGTAAAGAACAAATAATCCTCATCGTCCACTGACCGTCGGGGGAGAACTGGTCCTTCTCGAACACGGTGATGCACAGAACATCCTGGTACAGGTCTTTGATGAAGAACTGACAGTTGAAGTTCCACTTTGGGCTCAGAGTGTCGCTGGCGGGTCTGGAGGTGTAGCACTGGGCGCCCATGGTCAGCTCGCAGTACGGGTTGCTCTTACCTGAGCAGAGACGGGATTTAACGACAGCAGAACAGATCGATGTGCTTTTAAAAGCGAAGGACTCACCGTTGGGTTTGCAGGCCTTCAGCTCCTGAGCTTCGGTGACGGTGACCAGGAGTCGACCGATGCCGCTGGTCTTCAGAGAACGGGCTGAGATAGAAAAGATGTAGGTCACAGCACAGGTGGTGTTTGGTGGATAACAAAACGCACATTCAGGTGCGTGCTTTACTAAATCTAAACGGTGAGAAATATGTTTGGTTTGAGGTGTATTTGGAGATGTTTAGGAGAGGTGTATTTAATGCTTTTACCACATAAAAACAAGAAAAACGACAGCTGGTCTCAGGTTTCTTCTTCTTAAAGGATCAGTGCTCTGGCTTTTTTGCTTTTTTAAGAATTTGTATTTAAGATCCAAGTTCCTGCAGAATAATCCTTAATACGTTGTGACTATAATTAGATCTATATTCTGTAATACATGCGGCCCAAACGCCCACATGTGACTCTGTTCACCTTGATAAGCTTTTTCTCTCTTCTTCTTCTCCGTCTCTATGAAGTGTTCAGAAGCTGCTTTGATTTTCTGGACCCACGCCGTCCTGNATTTTTTTGGTTTCTGTCATTCAAGACATTTCTGAGTTCTCTCCATGGAGGGAAAAACTGTGACAGGAGCAAAAACAAGAAGCTGCTCAGAGTTCAGAGGCTTAAGAAAAACGTTCTGGTGACTCAAAAAGATGAGAACTTTGCAGAACTTTCTGGGTTGAATCCAGATATCGATCAGGATTGCTGATAACAAAGATGTTGCACCTACTTGAGCAGCTTCGTGTTGCACATGATCAGCTCCCTCCAGTTGACGAAGATCACGGCCATCTCGGTTTCCGTCAGACGTCCCGACTCGGCCATCGGCTTGTGGAACACCTGGGAGGCGTCAACAACAAAACGTTCAGTACTGTGACCCACATCGGGGCTTTTTAAGCTGCAGAACGAGGCGCAGCACCTCCAGCACCAGCTCCAGATCCTCCACGTAGGTCTCCTCGGTCTGGATCAGCTCGTGGATGTAGCCCTGCCTCTTCCTCTCCTGCGGCGTCATGGTGTCCAGCGTCATCAGGTCGGCGCACCCTGCAGCCGGCAGCCATGCAAGCACACATGCACAGGCAGGAGCGTGCACGGCAAACACAAACACTCTGCTTTCAATATTAAAACAAAAAAAAACATCCCACACAAACCAGCATGTTAAAATCTCCCTTTATTACCGGTTCTATGACGTTTGTATTTACAGCTAATGCACAGAGTGAGGCACATCGTAGTCGCAGTACAGGAACAGAAGCGATGCTAACACTGCTACCACCGAACGAAACGGGAATAAAGCACCGTTCATGGCTTGCATAGGAGTGAATGAGTCGAGGAGTGAGCGAGCGGTGGGGTCGGTCCACCTTAAACCACCAGGTTCCTGCAGCTGGAACACCTCCGATTGGCCTGAAACTTTCTGGTGATAAACGATGGATATTCTAGAAGGTATCTGTGAAATTTAAGCTCGATATAAAAAAACTGCCCTACAACCAACTCTCAGCAGGTTTATTCACACAATGAAATGTGAGGCTGTTTGAACGACAACATCTTCAGAACTATTAAAGATTAAAACCTGAAACGTTCTCAGCAATGTGTCACCACGTCATTGATTCAGAATCTAAAATATTTAACAAGTACATCAAATAGTCTGTGATTACGGGTGAGTTGACAAAAAAAACTAAAGCTGATGATGCAGAAGTGAACAAGGAATATTTTCCGGAACAAATTTAGTTTACAAAAAGATACGAAGCAAAACATAAAGAATACTTAAAAATATTTGGTCACGTAAAAGAAAAGTCGAGAAGCATCCCCGTATGATGATGCTGCCACCACCGTGCTTCATCATNTATACGACTAGCAGTCACACTTTAAGCTAACAATTTCAACCGCTATCTATAGCTTTAGGCAGCTATTTCAACCATTTATTCACTCATCAGTTTATAAATTTATACCTCTCTCTCATTTCTACCTTTTTTTTATGTGTAATAATAACCTAATTGGACATGAACGGGGTGTTTTCCACGTACATTCTTGATGAGCAGAGGGTAGCGGGTGATCCTCTGCATGGGCTTCAGCAGGAAGCTGGACAGCGGCATGCCTTTGCAGCGGTAGTTGGTGGCGATTTTCTGCTCAACAGGAGGCAGATGGAGAACATGTTACTGCAGCTCACAGAACCACATGTCATCCAGAGTTCACTACAAACAGCCCGAACCTTGAGGAAGTCCTTGAAGTCTTGCTGGTTGTGGGTTTTGCTCTGCAGCAGCGCGGCGGCGTTCAGCTGGCACGAGCAGAAGCGAATGTACGGCTGCATGTGAGCGAGTTCTGAGGCCAGCAGGTCACCGATCAGCTGGACGGGCATGTTCTCGCCGCCGGTCTTTTTACGGACACGCAGGGCTCTGAGAAAATGATGAGGGTTTACAACATGACTTCATGTGTATGAGCGACTCCAAGCATTTAAGACAACCAGCAGGAACTTTCACCAGGCTTCAGAGTCGGTGTAAGAAATGCACCGACTTTGAAAAGCAGTTTGGATAAACAGAACATACAAAACACTTAAATATGAAAATACTTTTTCACATAAATGAAAAGTCGAGAAGCGTCCCTGCATGATGATGCTGCCGCCGCCATGCTTCAGTACGGGGACGCTGGGTTTGGGACGATGTGCAGTGTTGCCACCAAAGGATGTTTAAAAAGCCCATAGTCTGCATATTCCCAGCTTTATAACTGTATTTCTGGAGTTTACTTGCTTCAGTTTTTTTTAAGTTTGCAAACCTCTTGCATGCACAAAAAGCAGCGATATAACAAACTGAAGGAAACGAGTCATTCGAGGGATAATTTCTTTGAAAGCAACTGACCATTTATCTGGTAGAAACTGTAAAAAGAGAAAACATTTTTACCTTCCTGATGGTCCATAACGGTACCATGTGTGGTTTGCAAAACTGTTTGGAAAAATCTAANAACTTTTAGCCACACTGTACCTAAAACATTTTAATTATTTATCTGTATTGTGGCTAATAATTTAAACTATTTGCCACACCTTTAGCCAACCATTTGTTCACCACATACGTAGCTAACAATTTACAACTGTCAGCCATACTATTGAATAAACCATTTATTCACTCATCAACTATAGATTATGCACCGCTTCCGGCTGTTATTTCTACTGCTATCCATTATTTTTAGTTAACTGGTGACTTCTCTTGTTCAGGTTAACTTAATTCTTTAACAATAATTTCAGTTTTTCAGATAATCTGAGCTCGTCTTTCCACGTCCTCCTTTGACTCCTGCAGAAGTACCTGTCGGGGTTATTTATACTTTATATTTACCTATATTTATATTTACTTTCTATTCTATTCTATTCTACTCCTGGTTGGGAATCAGTGCTTCTCGGTACCTCTACTTGCATACCTCTCATTTAAAGTCTCAGTTTTCAGAGTGTAGACCCGATCGATGTGTGAGACGTGGAAGATCGGCTCGTCGCTGGAAGGATCCGGCGGCATTTTCACCAACACCTCGTTCAGAAACAGCGGCTGGAGCAGAAAACAGAGCGATGGATTCAGACAGGATGCACGGAGTGGTTCAGGACATGACAGAGAAGAAACTTTTTGTTTTGCTCCAAGAAAAGTCAAAGCCCCAGAGCTTCCCTGTGCATTGTTTATTAAAGAAAGTTATTCATATTTCAACTCTGTGCTGCTATTTATAATCTTGTGCTGCAGGAGAAGAGCCTCCAGCCTGCAGCTCACCGTTTTGTACATCTTGAGCTGGATGCTGGTTTTGGGGCTGAATAACTTGTCGGATCCCGAGGAGGAGAAGGGTTTGGCACCGTGGGTGAGCAGGAGGAAGTCATTGAAGAGGAAAGCCCACAGCTCTCTGCTGCTCTTGGTTTTGTACAGTCGACCGCTGTGCAGCAGCTTGCGAGGCCCGAGGCAGTTCGTCAGAGAGTTGAACACTAAGTGCTGCAAGACAGACGGAGACAGTCAGACGTGGCTGTGGGAGGATGTGAGGACGGAAGCACAGTGTCAAGTACAGTGAGAAATCCTCCGTTTGTTCTGGGGAGAGAAAACATCAAGTCTGATCTCAAACACAAGTGCGAAAAAAACCAAGCTGTTAAGCAGAAATTAACGCATCGGCAGCCAAAAAGAAATGTTTTGTGGAGGCTGACGGCAGCGATAACACAACTGTGAGAAACTACGCAGAGATTCTTGCACCAAGAAGTCTTCAAATGGAGGGTTTCTGCTGCATAAAGGCGTTTTTGGTGGTCTCTAAAGGGGTTCAGTCAGCACCAAGTCATAAGAATATACTTTGAAAACCAGTTTTGTTAGTTGGGGAATCGTTTACTCCAGAATAAGAGACAATGTTCTTTATAAAATGGTCAGAAATAACAGGAAAATTCAGAGATTTATGTCAAATATGGAAACGCAGACTCGATGCATGTAGTGTACGTGTGCAGTGACCCGCTAAAGGCCCATTCAGAGCCGGAAAACCCGGAACACTCAGATCTTTGTGCATGTTTACCAATTTCAATTGCTAGCCATAGTATTAGCTAACATTTTCAATTGGTAGCCACACTGTTAGCTAACAATTTCCGAAGTTATACATACGATTAGCTATCAATTTTAACTATTAGCCATACTTTCAGGTAGTGATTTCAAACTGCTAGCCAAAATCTTAGTAAACGATTTTGACTGTTAGGTACCAATTTTAGCTGTTAGCCAAACCATTAGCCAACAATTTAAACTAGCAGACATAATTTTGGCTAACAATTTCAGGTGTTAGCTACACTGTTTGCTCAAAATTAGCCATGCAATTAGCAAACATTGTCAACCCGGTTGCCAACCTGTTAGCCCATCACAGCGTCTTTGTGCATGTTTACCTCTATCGGCCCTTCGCACTGGACGTGGCTCTGAATCCATTCCAGTCGGTCGGAGTTTTCCTTCTCCCTGACGCCTTCGTTGACCTGAGAGCAGAGTTCCTCGGCTCGTTCCAGAGCTTCTCTCAGAGGGCTTCGGTCTGCGTGGACCTCCGGGGTGTGTTCCAAGATCTGACCGACGACAAGGGCAGGAATATCAGAGAAAACTGTTAGCCATACTGTTAGCAATCAATTTCAACCGTTAGCCATACTGTTAGCAATCAATTTCACCCGTT